GCTTGAGAGGAAAACCAAGACTGTGTGTAGAAATCCTGTTTAAAAAAAAAAAACAGTAATGACAGCTCCTTCTAATAAAAAAAAATTATCTGAAATACACGGGGTTGAAGAAGACTTGGCAAAAATTTGAGACGTATCAGCAACTACTAAAACAATGTTTTAATTTAAGGATTGTGAATATAGGAGAAAGCTTCTAACTTCAGTATTTCAGTCAGCTTCTAGTTTCATTCATGTCCTTATTCACCAGTCATTTTATTTCATTTTTCTCTGTGATACTTGCACAGAATTTCCTTCACTTGTCTACTCCTATTTTTTTCATCAGTGCTACTTGCTAGTACTTATGGCACCACCACTACAATGCCACCATAAGAATACGTACTATAAAATTCAGAAATTTGAGAGGGTACCAGAAAAGAAAACATCACTGAATAAATCAAGAAAAGGAGCAAGCTGATAAAGCCTTGGAAAGATTCCAGTTTGACACAAATGTCATGGCAATCTTCTTTGGTAAAACAGCAAACATGGGAGCAATGCGTGACAGTTACATGGAGGTTTTTGCCAAGTGTAGTTTTAAAAATACACATGAATTTTGCATTGGCTCTTTAACATTCCACGTTAACTGGTTTGCAGGCATGCTTCTGAAGAATGTAAAGTACATAAAAATGTAAAACACTTACTTATCTCTAACGTTTTCTTTGATGGCTTTCAATAAAAAAAACAAACCAACATAGATTCACACACCTTGACTTCTGTTACTTTGATAGCTAACCGGCTGTGCTTCCAGCAACTGAAGAGACGCATCCGTCAGGCATCGAGTCTCAACAGTAAGGGTAATACCAAGAAGGTGGCAGAGATACTGTGCCATAAAAACGGCAGCATCACGTTTGACTCCAACAGGTGTGCAGATGACTGACTTCTTGCATTTTGATACCAAATACAATCAATAAAATCATAAGCTTGTATAGCCTGGTAAAATTGCTGGTCCACGTGCTCAACTAACTTTAAGGACAGAGAGGGCAACTCTATCCCAATGTGGCTGGAAAGCAGCAGAGCTACGTTCACGTGAGAAAGGTCACTCTGCATCATCCTCTTACATGGTAGTACCATATCTATGCTCACTCTGCTTCCAGGGCAAATCCAAGAGACATGACCTTGCTGAGGCATCTGGCTGGCCTCCACCCTGTGCAATACAAAGGCATATGAAATCCCTCAATGAAAATAAATCCGCATTCATACCTATTCCTGGTTTTCATGACTAAAGTTACAATCTAACTGGTGCAGAGTGCAGTGCTCCTGAAGTTCTGTCTTTCAAACGAGACATCATAAAAAGGAGCTGACATCTTGAGGTTATTAAAGAGATCACAGCACTATTATCTTCACAGTATGATGACACCTTTTGTTTAACTCTCTTTTGGTAATGTAAATGAGCCCAAATGCAGCATACTTAAGAATTCAAATTATAGACTGTTATTACAAATCATAAAATGTTATTACAATTACTAAAGGAAATAACTAAACTGAACAGAGAGAACAAGTCATATGATAAGTAAAGATGGACAGTCATACCCAAGTGACTAACTTCCTCGGGCATTACTTAACCTATTTGTAGTCATTACTTATGGATAGCAATATAGTTATTTCCAAAAGCAAAATCTAGTTTACACTTCAATTTCTACTTGGTGGGTTGTTTTTTTTTCCCCAAATGCCTTTGAGAAAATAAAACTTATTTCTCTGCTTTAAAAAATTTCATGATCAATCTGTTACCTCTGGCTTCAGCTAAGTATATGACCTGACAAGAGGAAGACAGACAATATCCTTCTCTGAATGCTCCTAATTATCATTAATGAAACATTGCAGAATGTTGCAAAGAAATATGAACAGCATAACCCTGTGTTAACTTGAAACTGATGTATCGTACAACACTTTGTTTCAGCACTCCCGCTCACCACATATATGAACTCTAATCAATTATATATAGTTTATGGGACGTTGCCCATTTCCAACATCTTTGCTGGGAATATAACATATTAACTGTTAATAATAAGGGTTAACATGAAGCTGATGCTATTGCAGATTAATGCACCTGGAAGCCAGACTTAATAGCTTCTTTTTAGGTAAAATGTTAATCAGAGGTATCTGTGGTGAAGACGGCTATTCTTTCATGTCCAGCTAGGCATCCTCACAAGGATACAGTCCGGTAATCACGTACATAGTATTTAAGGTTTCATTAGATCAATCAGAACCTCTTGGAACACTTTTTTTTGAGTAAGCTTTACACCAAAAGTTTCATAGTAGAAATACACTTTTCAGAAATGTAACTGACAATCTTATGTTCAACACCATTAATTTAAGATGATAAATTATTTGCATTAAATGCATTATTTATTATAAGCTTCAACATGTCTTTATCAATGTTGTTTAGACAATTTATATTTACGTTACTAGGCAATTATGAATGGAAAAGGCAGTTCAGAAAGTTATATTCTCTGGTGCACATAGGGCAAAATTTAAATCATAACCGCTACAGCAGGTTAAGCCCCATAACAAAACCAAGCTAATGGACAACAATGTATTTTATTTCTGGCAGTACTAAGGGTATTTTATGCACTGTATACAGGGAGACTAACAAATGATATCAGTAGTACAATATAGCACTCAGACTATCGTAGTATGACTCTGTGGAAGAGTTAATGCTCATGAGTACCAAATTAAGGAATTAAAGTTCACTAAAGGCATTGACTTCAAAGGTCCCTGGATGGTATTCAGAAGCCCAGCTCAGCTACTGTTGAGGTAAACAAGAGTTTTTTTAATGAGAAAAAAAAAAAAAAAAAAAAAAGGTTTCAGAGTTTCAGCCATCCAAACCACAGACTGCCAGGGTACAGGAAAAGTGCAAACTAAACGTGCATGCCCTGCTGCTATCTTAAATACCTGCTATGGGATAAACTGAACCTTCAGAAAAGGGGGATCTCATCTTGGCAAGATGTGCTGCTGGGCTGACCAGAATGGTTGCCCTTACCATGTGTCAAGTCCTCAGCAAAGACCTCAAGGAGTTTTAAATATTTATACATGCCAAGAAAAGTCCTCAAGTTTTGGGCTTTGTGACAAAAAAATGCAGCTTTTGTAACTCCCCCCATCCCCAGACTGGTTTATCACTCTGATGAAAAAATAATTCATGTGTGTATTTTCCTCAAGAAGAACAGCTCTGAGTCATGTTACAATCCACAGAACATTTAATGCGCATTTTGCACACACTTCTCGCACAAGCGTCTCCCTGGCTGGTTAGAAGAAGAGGCATGCGCTTTGCCTTCCTGTTCCTGCACATATAAAGTTTTAGCACCTCTTTTGAGAGCTAACAGTGAAAAATGCAATTTATGGGACAGAATATCTTGTTATCCGTCCATGAAGTCACCAAAGGAAAGATCTTTATCTTGCTTGAAAAAGTATGCAGATCACTCCTTAGCATTTCCATTTCTACAGAAAATAGCCCTTTTGGCTACGTAGAGCACCAAAACTCAGTGAGGTATAGCAGGGTGGAAGTTCCCAGTGAGCAAAAGTAAAAAGAGCTGAAGTTTCAGTCACTTAGAAACAACTACAGGTCTCTGGATGAATGCCTGTGGAAGAAACACATTCCACACAAGAGGGAAGACAACAGGAAAACAGCGAGGCAGACCATCTGGAATCAATGTATTCAGTGCAAGAATTAACAAACCACCCATTTTTTCTTAGAACGGTTATCTTTTTCAACCTACAGTAAGGCTATGGTCCCAGGTATATCAAGAAAGCTTTGTTGATATGTATTGATATATACGATATGGCCAAAGCAGTTCTTTTGTAAACATGGCTACATCAGATGAATTACAATTTGTTATAGTAAAATAAAAATACTGTAAAATAAAAATCTTCCCACACAGCCTTGTTGATAGCAGTAGTTTATAATGTTAGTTACACTCACAGTACTGTTTTTCCTCAGTTTAGTATACACTGCTCTATTTGTATACCGTCCATATGCTGCTTAAGCATCCCTACTATAAACGGCAAGCCACTTGCATGCCACTTACAAATTGTTTCAGACTAACTTCACACTTACGACTCCTTTCCACGGTGCTGACTTACGTGCAATGCAATTAGTAAGACAAACATAAAAGAGAACATACACCTCTCCTGAAATCCTTGAAATGCTGCCGCCTATTTACCTGCTCTTCACAAAGCCACAGTCCTCAGTAACTTGTACTATACCATACCATACTGCTTGTGCCAGCAAATCCTCCACAAGCATAAATACTTCCTAACCGACAAGGGACTTGACTAAAGCACCATCACTCATCTGTTAAAGCCTCATCACTGTACGCTGAGTAACGTCCGTACCTTTATATAACATGAAGATAAAACTTGGTCTTCTCCCCTTTCTTGAACTGTAAGGAATCAAGGCGCTCACTGAAGACTAACGACTGAAAATGAAATCTTGAACTAACAGGAATGAAGCAGCATCACATTTAGCGGTACACAGGGGCTCCGGTAATTTGTCTTGCTGCTGCTGCTACCTCACTAACCTCTATCACAAAAATACCCGTGGGCTTAGTTGCCCAAGAGTGAGGCTCTGTATGTCTGAACAGTGCTTTCCCAATTGGCCCGTCATCCATTTCGGATCATTACAATCTTGTCCAGCTCCTGCATGTGAAATCTCTCCAAGAGATGTCCAGAGTGATCATCTTACTTGGCAAGTGTTTGTATTTTATCCAGCCTAACTAACAGCATATGGTTTTGTGATTCTGCAAGAATAAGAGGGTTTGGTCCTCTTACATGAAGGGCGGGCAATGTTTGCATTCATTGTGACACACTTTGATGGCCTTTCTGGGAGGCAGCTTATTTCATATACTGACCAGAAAAATCTTCCCCTCTATTTAAGTGTTGTTAAGTCACCCAAATTTATGTCTTTAATATACTGTCTAATAGGTGCAACACTACCCAGTAAAAAGACATCTTAAGATCAAGATACTTACAAAAAGCAGAAGCAGAAGTGGAGTTATAACAATGCCCTGAAAGAAATAAAAATAAAAAATAAATAAATATGTCAGTTAGTCAGGGAAACAGAATACTCTTTATTTCTTTGTACCTTAGTGCATGGGAATACACAAACATCATTCAACATCATAGAAATTAAGAGACAAGAAGTTCAACTTCACTCGTCACTGTGTACCTTCTTTAACATCTGTACATCGATCATTTCATAAACTATACTCAGTACAAAGTATCTTTTTTCACCTCTAGCTTTCCCCATTTTGCACCTAAGCCCCTCTATTCTAAAAGATATAATATGCAGAATAGATCAATTCTTTTGAAAAAAATGTATTAAAGCTCTCCCCACACTGTGTGGTATCTTAACCTCACTAAGCTGCTCCTCCTTAGGGGGGAGAGTTGTGATCAAGTCCCATGCTACCCAGTCCCAGGTCCTCTTCTGAGCAAAAGCCGCATCAACTGTGATGAATTAGGTGTCGTGACTGTGTAATGTAAACTGATATTTCCCCAAGGAAATGAGCTGAGATCTCAAAACTCATTTCACTTGATTAGACTTCACGTCACACTGGTACAAGGCAAGTCTTTCATCTAATTTAATCACACAGGACCACCTCAGCTTTCCACATGCCCCAGGCAGACACAAGCAAAAAGATTTGTTGTCTTCACTGACAAGGAACAGGTTTAAAGCTGATGATTGGACAAAACAGAGGATTTTAAGTTTCATGAGAGCGAATCTTAAAATGAGTTGTTTGGGCTGGGAGTTAACATGACATGCATCAGTTTTATAGCTGCAAATAGCAATTCCCCATCACCCTTCTACCTGACTTCAATATTTTATTATTGCTCAATGAAATGATTCTATCATTTAATGCATGCTAATTACAAAGCTTGCTCAGAACTTCTCTAAGCCAAGACTATTCTTCATCCAGATATGCCTCAAGAATAACTAGTCTTTCAGCTATTCACAAACTTTATTGTTTAAAGGACAAAAGCCGAAAACTTGCTCACATCCATCTAAAAGGATGCTTATTTTCTGTTTGTTTTTAGCTCCAAGTGAAAAACACTCAAACAAAAAAGCAGTTGTCCCCTGCTTTTCACTTAACCTTGAGTAACACAGCTTTACATCCATCTTTTGGAAGCTAATATAATGAAAAGCCTTATACAGCTAGTTTTTTATTTGCTTTCTGGGTCCACCAAAAGTCTCAGATCCAGATAGCCCATTAGGCACAGAGAGTTCCTATTGTGTTCTTAAAACAAAATGCAACAAGTAAATGCCACAAACCATGGCAAACAAGAAGGATCGAGGAGGCAAGGAGTGAAGCTGTGCATCTTGAAAGCTCTACAGAACTTAAAACCATATTTTGAAATAAATAACATATGCCATACCTGACTGCCCCACAGCCTAGCTATTCAAAATCATTTATCTTTTTGCAAATGTCACAGTTGAGATAGATCATAAAAGACTAGAAAAAGAAGAAGTAGAAGCAATAAGAATTGCTTCAGGGAGTCACTCACTGTTTACAGGGAGGCCTAGACGAAAATGCAGATAGCAGTTATGAAGAAATATAGGTGTTCAAGTGTATCAGCTGTAGAGGAAGAAACAAAAGTTGAGGGAGGGAGGAGGCACTAAGAGCTGAACTGACACTTGGGTACAGTAGCATCTAAGATGCTTAGAACCAAGAACTGACAGTAAGATTTGTATAATGTAGATGCAACACAGTCACTTCATCAGAGTGACCAAACTCCAGCTATTATGAACTACTACTAAAAATACGCAAGCCAGACTTTCCCCTTCTTCCCTGTTCCCCATTGACAACTACACTGCACAGCTCAAATATTACCAAGTGCCTGAGTACTCCCCTAAGCATCCTATAATTTTGGGATGGCAGAACACCACTGCAGCAGGGTTCCACCTTCAGACCTTTGCATGAGCAAAGAGGAACATGGGTGGAGGGGAGGTGATATGCCAAAAGCATCCTGTACTCCACATCAGCATTGAGCGTAGGGAGAAGAGAGCACACTACCAGCTGGCGAGTACAGCCAGCTCTCCTCTACATCTGAAGGAACTCATTGATTCAGCATCATTAGTCATTTCTTACGCGCTTCATGCCTCAGTACATTTCAGAGCACTTTCATACATTACAAAAAAAAATGCAAAGGTAAAAAAAACCAAAACAAAACAACCTTTCCTTTTATCTTGTTGATAAACAAAGATGGTGTCCTTCCCCTTTAGAAGGGGACCTGTGACTTGGTATATATTTGCTTTAGAAGCTTGGCCATATCAACACAGTGGGCAACAGCCACTGCTAATTCAAAGCCTATAATGTCACCAAAGGAAATGTTACCTCTGTAACAGTAACACTTATTCATAATTCTGTAAGCAGAGAGGAAGAGAATCCTGGTATATATATTATAAACAGATTCCTGACTGAGCTTGTTGGAAATCTAGCATTCAAAAGGTCAATTCTAGCAATTCTTTACAAAATTTTGCTATTAAACCTGGTGATCTTAATAATCAGAAGCAAGTTTCCTGTTGCCTCACCGCAGAAAGGATTTACAAGGTTGAATTTTCCCATTTGCAACACATACACAATTCCCTGGGAAGCTAAACAATTACCTGACAGAACAGACAAGTTCATATTAAAAAATAGATGCTGTTGCTGAATCAGAGTAATTCGATGTTAATGTTTTATTTTGATAAGGAGCACCGGTTTGAAAAACCACAGGGATTACATTAAAACCAAGCATATTTTTTCATTCAGTTGTGCTGTGGTGACTGTGATTGTTTACGGGTGCAAGCAAGGCAAAATTTATTAGGAGAGGGAATCTCTGTTACCCGACGAACTGATGGAGTGGGTACAGAACAAACTTTGGGCACGTAAAGCCCATTTATATATGTTACCTGAAAACACTAGCATGCTTTTATGTGCAAAAGCCCTTCTCTTTAGGTTTCTGTTACAGATTTGAAGGTTTACATGACTAAAGTATATCAGTCTAACAAAAGGTATTACCTTTCCCTCCACACACAATACCTCTTCATTAGAAATGCGCTCCTCAATATGCTTATAAGCACTATGTGATGCATCTCAATTCATACCCACTAAAGAATAATATGTAGAGCACACTGAGTCTAAAGCCTGCTGATAAAGAATACAGATGACGATTTAGGTTTTGAAGGTAAAACCAAAATCCGATTCGCTCAGAATAAAGAAAAGCTGGAAGAAAAGAGTTACTCTACATGGTCCAGCTGATGCACTAGCAGAGGCTTCACAGAGATGAGCATATTCTGGCACTGGCAGTAGAGCTGCTTTCTAAGACTACGACAGGCTGAAAAGCACAAAGGAAGCTAAAAATTAAAATAAAGACTATCGTTTCTAAGTCAATTGGACACTAACACCATCAGAGAGGAAAAAGTAACAAAATTTGACCACGCTTTTCTCTGCCTTGCTTTCCAGGCAAGTGCTGTCAAATACATAGTGTATGGAGATAAACAGATTGTAGATTAGCACTTCCAGCAGAAGCTGAGCATCTGCCCTTGAGAATGCAAGGTCATTACACAGTTTTAGCATCTTCAAAGTTCGGGTGGAGTGTTAAGCTTTCCGACTGCTGCCCACAATGGAGTCAAAGTTGTAAAGTGACTGCTGTTTGCTATCAGCAGAAAAACTTTCAAGAAATCCATTTACACCTCTGATGTGAAAGACTGACTGAATATATTTCAATGATTTTAGTGGAAAAGAAAGAAAAAAATCTCAGGCCATCCTGAGATACTGATACAACATAGGAGTCTGAACAGTCATATCAGATACTTGTAAACACATTCCTTTTTATAGTAAAGATCGTGGAACATGTCTTAATTAGGAGAGTTTAAATGGAGTTTTGAGTGTGTGAGCACGTGCATAAACATACACTTTAACAGGAAGGACGTACTTGGAGATCCATTTGATTGTTATTTGTAGTAGATAAAGATGTCAAGAGTTTTTCTATAGGTTTCATCCAGTACAGCATTGCTGTAGAGCAGGTATTAAAAAGGTGCTTGTTTATTCTCCAAGAGCATATGTAGAATCATTACATGTAATTGGCTGCCAAATCGGACAGCAAAAGGAAGTAACATAATGGATTTGAAACTATGATGGCAAATCATTAAGAAAGAAATTATGCAAATAGTAAGAGGAAGATGGGCACAGATCCAGAGGGACACATGGTAGAAGATGAGTAAGGATTATTGTAATGAGGCATGAAATACATCTGAACTTTCCTTCGTCTCCTTTATCCACAAATTTCCCATGCAATTTTTCTTCATTCTTACAGGTCATCAGTATGACACACATGTGGCAATTACTAGTGAAAAAACTTTAACTAAAGTCGTGTCTGATTCGTCTTAAGAAGTAGAGCTTGAAAGACAAAAGTTTTTTGCAATCAAGGTTCTGAACAACTGTGTATTTTCTGAAATCAGTTACCTACTTATGTGCTTAAAGCTACAGATGCTCTTGAATTCTTCATCAGAGTAGGACACAAAAGGAGTGCAAATAGCAGTAAGTTATAAACTGAGTTAAAAACCCATTTTTTGGTTTGCCCCCCCCAAAAAAAACCCCAAACCCAAACCTGTTCCATTTTTGTGATTACAACATGGGAAATAGATTTTATTTTGATACACTTATTACTTCTATATTCTATAGAATATTCCATGTTCTACGTGCTTGGAAGTGTGTTTTTAAACTTATTTTTTTCCTTATTTTATTTTTGACAAATTTGCCGACAACTTCATAATGTTTTACATTTCCAAAAGAGAACTGTGCCTCTGGAAAAGTACTTCTGTGTCTGAGTTAGGTACCTTTTGGAGCAATAGACAGCTAGTACCAAAGTTCTGACAGAATACAGTTAAAGAGGCGTTCTCAAAAAATCTGGTACCACGGCAAAGGAAAAAAAGGCGGCTCTCCTAAAGGTCAAAAAGCTTATTATCCAGAATTTTCAAGAACATGATGGAGACTGTAAAAGACCACGATGGCGCTCAGCCAACTCA